GTGTGTTTCTTCTTGTACATGTTATACTGATTGCACATGTGAAAGAAACTTCTCCCAAACTGCAATTGCAGTTCATGTTCTGTATCACTGGATGGTCGAACATCCCTACAGGCAGTGAAGAGCCAGCAATGAGCAATCAGGACCTTTTAGAGTAAGGCAAGTTTATGGGCAAGAATCAATAAATATATTTAATGAACTTTCCTTAGTTTCAGTTCAGTGACTAGAAGACTGACTTAAGAGGTCTTTTGCCCTCAGAATGCCTTGTATCATATAGGAGTATATCCAAGGGGAAAAATCTAATAGTTACTGCTATTGGTCAGGGAATGACCTGATATAACTGGACTTCAGCTTTTGTCTTTTCAATTATTTTCTGTCTCACATACTGTTATTGGAATGAATAAATTTGCTGAAGTTACCACTAAATATTTAAACAGACTTCTTCTCCATTCTGCAAGTATTTGTGCTTGTAAAATGCTTACAGACTGGGAATTTTGGTAGTATGAAAGACCTTCTTTTTACTTTTGAAGTTCAATTACCATTAAGTACCTGTATTTCTATGCTTTTAGGATTGATATCTTGTAGATATTTGGATTTCTGAAAGTGAACAAGGTAGCAACATCCTGGATTAGAAATAATAATACTCTCTGAAATCCTTTTATTAAGTTATATCTGCTTCCTTTACATTATTCATGTTGCATTATCTGAAACTGCTTAATGCTTTTTGTAAACATAAATAAATCTGAACAAAGAATATTGCTTGCTTAACTCTGTTAGCCAACGATTTTTATGTATCTGGAAGTCATCACAAACTTGATTTTAATAATGTTTTAAACAGGTACAGGTACAATTCAATTGCATTGAAGTCAATGTAGCACAACACATCTATGTGACCATGAAAACTGTACCAAATTACTGCGAAGTCAAGCTGAGTCAGGAATACTATGTTGAAGGTAGGAAAGCATCTTCAACCAGATGTTTTACAAGAAACATCTTGTCAAAGGAAAACCACAAACCAAACCACAAAACCTAAAAGACAAAGGCAAATCCAAATCACATTCTGGGATGCACTGACCTAACTAATGGTAGATCACGTATGCTAGGACCAGTCTTAGTCTACATTTCAGTGATTTTTTGTGTGTACAAATAAAGGTCTTGACTTGCTGTAAAAAACAGAGACCAGAGTTTATATCTATAAGTACATGGAAAACTGAATGACACTATGCATTTGTCCCAGTTGACCTTTTTGTGATTGGCATGTTCTCTTCCTCTGCCCACAGGTTTGGCCCTGTGTGCTCTCCATGCATAAGATGGAGTCTCTGCTTCTCTGCATAGTTAGGCCATAGGTGTCTTCAGAGGTTGAGGGAAACTTAATAAGAAAGTATATTGTTTATTTATTTTTACTTTCCTTAACTAGGTATTCTATCACATGTAACTGGAAAAGATGAGGTAGCATTTTTCCATGCTTTTGGGATACAGTGCCTACAAATTTTTTACAAATTGTTCCATGTGCATGCAAAAAGAGATTCAGAACCGCGGTCCAACCAAGATACAGTGTGGCTAGTGGAGACAAGTGCAAAAAATGACATGTGCCCCTTTGTTTAATCCAGTGCCTGGGATTGTCCTGCCTTCCCATCTCCAGAACCCATGGGTGGGCAGCTTTTGCCCTTGACCCTTGGTACGTTGTCATCCCTGCTGCACAGTTTCACACCTTCATAGAGGAAAAGCCTTTTTGTGCTTAAAAAACTTTTAATTTTCTTGATAAATCCTGATTCACTATTGCAGTGTATATGTACTTTTGTAAACAAAGAAGGGGGAAATAATGTTTTATAAAGCCCAGTTTTGAGACACTTTGTGAGGGTGACTGAACAAATAAAAATAGGAAATATTTTTCAGGGGAAAAGATCTGTGTGGGGAAACAAGGACCAAGTGCTGCACAGTAGGGAGCACATTAAGAGCTGATGTAGTGTTCTTAAATCAAAAGTTAATTTTTGGAGATAGAAATATCAGATGTTAGTTCTGAAAGCGTTGCCTGGCTTCTAATTCTGGTAAGTTCCCTGGGAGCTAGATAGAGTGTTTCTTTATCTGTAACCCTGAAGTTAGAATAGAAAAAAATACACAGTTGTTGATAACAGAGAAATGAGTATGGTAAACAACAGGAGTAGGAGCAGGTTTCAAGGAAAGAGTAACTGAAATTAATATTATTATTACTTAAATTATTGTCAGGTACTAGGTAAAGAAGTGCAGTGTTATATCCTAGGTTGCTGTCTCAAACTGCTGATGAGGTTTCCCAGTAGAAACCCTACACTGGCAAGACAACTCCTTAAGGCATGTTGTGATATAATCTCTGCATGCGAAGAGTGATTTTTATTTTTTGTGCTGTTTATCTAGAAGTGAATGTAAATCTGCCCCGAAAAAGGGGGATAAGAGATGGGTTTCCTGCTGGGAAGCTGTTGGATAATTTGACAGTTTATTTACACATTTATATAAATAAAGCACCACTGAGGAAAACTGGCTTCTGTTTTGCAGACTGCAGAAACAGTGATGTAGGAAAATATATTCCAGCTTGTTCAGGTAAGCTGATCTTCTTATACAGCTTAGAGCTGTGAGATATGTCTGATGACCTACACAATGATAATTTTCATACCTAAATAAGCAGGGGATAAAATTATGATTTCCAACTACCACTACTTATAATTACCATGTAGTTGATAGCTAATGTCCTGGAATATGTGCTTCTCTGTATTGACTTAGAAATGCTACATAGCTGATAAAAATATTGACAGCCTATTTAATACTTAAACTTTTGGAAATAGATTTGTGTCCTTTTTATGTATTTTGGATTGCTGGTTTTAAGTTTTATCTGCAGACAGACCTCATAAGTAGACTAAAATTAGTTTGCTGAACTGCAATCCTGATTTTGGTATATCCATGAATAGAAAAGAAATAAAATATGCCCCCACGTATTGCATTTGCCTAACACAGTTGCACATATCTCTATGTTACAAAATTGCAGTCTTGGGCTAATCAGCTTTTATAGTATTATTAGTGTGTATATTTCATGTATTTGTACAGGCACTACATAAGAATTCAAGTACTAAGATTGAGGTAAAATTGGTAGGTGTCTTGGCTTCTCAGTATTGCAAGTAATTTTTAAAGCTAAATAATATTGAATGAAAATTATTATATCTCAAAAAATAAGAATAAAGGAATATCAGGCTATAAAAATAATAATTTCAGACATCCTAGGTAAGTATCTATAGATGTTGCATTTCATCTCTATTGAGTTAGGAAATATATTATGTACCTTTTATAAATAAATAACAAAATAGAAATATTAGACAAAAAAGAAACAGATGTGATAATTTCATGCTTGAATTTTCTTTTCCAGTTGGAAAGTTTGATTATAATGTAGACAGGACAAGGAAAGTTATAACAGTGAATGTATCCAACTTTCCCCGAGATCAAGATTATTATGTTCGCCTGTGCCACAAATGGTTTACCTGTGAAGATGTTGGGGTGCTTGCTGTGGTAAGTTAAAGCTCACAGAGGTTTGTTGAACTGGTGGGGGATAATTTGTAAATGGCAATGCTCACTAAGGTCACAGTTATAGGAAATGGCCTTCTATAGCTGTGCTTATCTTTATTAAAAGTGATTTACTGTCCTGGATTCATGATTATCTTTTTCATTGCAGATAAAAGGAAAGGAATCTTTCAAATCAGTTTCTCTGAAATATTCTCAGCTACTCCCTTGCCTTTGCATTGAGGTAATGCAGCCTGGAATTTGGTATATACTCGTGTTTCTGATTAAAGAAATTTCATCTGGGATTTGTGCTAAGAAAGGAGAAAGAATTATTTGAAAAAGGCTTTAGACTCAAGTTTTTGACTAAGGCTTGTTTGACCTTCTGATTATGTAAATATAGAACAGATTTTTTAGGAAACGCTAATTAAAACATGGAGATCAGAATAAAATGGGATACAATTTGCATTTATTTATGGAAAGTATTGTGTAAGATTAATTTGACTGGTTATTTGAATAAAAAATGAAATGACAAAATTTAATCTGACTGAATATCAGCATAGCATTTGATATAGTATTGCATGAGTGACTAAAAGAGGAATTGAGGAAGCTGGGAGTGAGAACAAGACTTGTATTGTGGGTAGTACCTAGCTGGAGGACTAACTCAACAACTCCTGTTGAATGGGGCTGTGCTGGTAGGGAAGTTATTTAAGGACCACGCTTAGAGCTGTTCTCATACAAATGTTTTCATCAATGACACGACCACAAAAGATGTTCATGAGATTTGTGATAATGCAGTTGGGAAGTGTAATCAAAATAAAAGAGGGTCAGGGTAATTGCGAGAGACTAGAGGTCTTCATAGGTGACGTAACTAAAGGAGGATGAAGTGTAAAGTATGAAGTGCAAGTTCATGCACTTGCTCTAATGAAAAGAGCTTACTTGCTCTAAGATGTGAGTCCTCATTTAGAAATAACAGTGGAGAAAAAAAATTTGCCTGTAACAGTTCATCACAGGACAATTAAACTAACATGCTTCCATGATATAAACATGAACAAAGATGTAGTGAGTTAGATTATTCTAAGCTAACAGGAAAGTATGGGCAAGGCCTTCTTTGAAATACTGTAAGCAATTCTTGTATCCATATACAAAAAAGCTTAATTCAAATGGAAGATATGCATTAAAAAATCTGGAATGGTTGGGGAATGAAGAGACTGTCTTACACAGGAGATTCAGCGAATGTGTTTCTATTAGCCTGGTAAAACATACACAAAGAGAAAATACAGACCGGAAGGGTCACTGATAAGGAAAAATAACAGGTTTTTTTTAAGCTAAAGGATTCTTCCCACAAGACTAAATGGGGATAAACTTCATTCTGTGAATATATTCTGGATAGTTACAGATTTTTTTCTTCTGATAACATGAGAAGTGAGATTTTGGAATATCTTTCACAGAAAGGAATAAAAAGTCACAAAACAATTTAAAATGATCTTGATAAGGTAGAAAGGTACTATGTGAACCTAGTTTCTCAGTGAATTCTGGGGCAGGATTCACCCTGTGGATTAAGATACCTAAATGTAGATGTCCAGATATAGATATCTACATTTGAATTAGGTGTTCAAACACTAAAAGTCAATGGAGATTAATGCTGTCAGTTGTTCAACTAACCAAATGTATATGGCTCTTTTGGGATGAGCTGGACTGCACTGTAGATTCCATTGGCTGTGTATGACTCAGAAATAGTAGGAATGTAGTTTTAGATGGGATTATCTTAGTTCATCAGCTCCAATGATCCTAATGCTGAGCAGAAAAAAAAAATAGTGCAAAATGTCTTTTAAAAATCTGCTTCCAAAACTTTCTAATAAACATAGAATCTTTATCTTTGGTGGAAATGTTTTCTGTCACGCTCTGCCTGAAACGCTGAAAGTGCGTGTGTCTGAGAATCTCTAACTAATGGCCACTTTTTGGGTTGTAGGGTTGGCTGGCAGTTCCAGATGCAAGGAGGATACAACTTTGCCCCTTTGAAAATGGCAAGTACTGTGTAACTACTCTTTATATGAGTGATTTTCAGCATCTCCAGTAGTATGTCACAATTTAAAATTAATCTAAAATGAAAATCACATATTGCAAAATTCAAGGAAATCATCATAATGGTTGGTTTTACTGTGGGTAGATGAAATAACTTACATTCAGACCAAATCGTTTACCAAGTTCATGCCAACATAAATACTAAGTTGCTTTCTAGTCATTTTCCACATTTTCCTACATCACACACAAACTGGCCAGAAGGTCAGCTTTGAAGTGCTGATGTGAGAAGAGGGCTTCAAGGAGACATTTGAAGAAGGTGTCCGACACCCAATTTACAGGAGGGAGCAGGACATTGATAAAGGAGACAATTAACTGAATATGGGAGTTCCCATGCTTAATGGGAAATTATTCACACAGGATGTTCCAGCAAAGTCAGAATTTGGTCTGAGATGACAGCTGAAAATGAAATTGCCATATGACATAGATCTTGAGTGAAAGTTTTCCAGGCAAAGAGAAAAAAAGTATAGCCTGAAAAAGTGTTTTATTGTGTTAAGTCTAAGCTTTTGGTTTAAAGCACATGTAGAGGTACCAGACTTATGAACAGTTTTGATTAATTTGTGGACATCTTGAATAATGTTTCCCCTCTTTGTGCACAGAGACGAAGGCACTGTGGGATAATGTTGTTTATAACCCATTGACACAAACCCTAGCCTGGGAGCCAGTCTGTCCTGTACTTGTCGTGGTTAACCTGTGCAGGTTTGTGAAGTCCAACGACCACTGTGAAGATATAGAGAACTCTTCCAAAAATTCACCCGAGAAAGTAAGAGCTATGCTGATTAATTCAAACTGTGAGATTGAAGGTCAATGCCAAAGGCATAATGTGAAAAGCTAGACTTTGGAATAAGAGCAATTGCAAATTCCTCTCTTCTCTGATACTTAGAACTATTCATAATCACAGTCTGTTCTTGTGTGCTATTCACATAATTTATTCAGAATGGTCACTGACTCACTATTAAGAAATAAAAAGTGGAGCTGACTGGGCAGCTAGTAATGTTTGCGAAATTCTTTGGGGTAAATAGGATCTGCTTTTCATTTTTAGTAAAGACATGATTAATCTATCCTGACTTTGCTGTCTAAAAGATAGGTGTTCAAGTCTATGCTATTCATGTCAGATTCCTTTTAATGTAAGGGAAACAGACATATTGAGAGGACAACTGTTCTCATCTAAAAATAGGCATAATAGAAATATTGGAGGGATTTCTATCTGAGAGAAATAGAATAGACAAGAGCCTATTGTGATTAGATCAGATTTGGATATTTAACATTTAGACACCTAAAGTGTAAGTGAGACAAAGCTAAATCTCTTTAACTCTTACTGGTGGCATAACAGCACTTTGGCAGGGAACAATTTCACATTGAAAAGTAGGTTTCAGGCTTTCTGATTGTGGAGAGAGTACAGTAAACTTAAAGCAACAACTGAAAAGGCAAATAAAATCAAATAAAGTTCTTAATTTTTGAAACTTTCTGATTACTATTATTCTGATGATGTGATTGGGGAGGGGATGGGGCTGACTCAAGACTGTTGAATGCTTTTTTGATTAGGAACTCCTGGCCAAGTGTTTAGTGATTGCTCAGATGCACTATTTTATGAGTTTCAAGAAAGCTTTGATCTTGAAAAAACCAAATTATTTTAATTTTACACATCTGAGTGATCCCTGTGGGATTAGTCATCTGCTGACAACGAGCACAACTCATTGCTTGCAGGAGAGAAAAATAAAATAAAATAAAATAAAGCTAAAATTTAGTTTGACTGGTAATGGTTATATCTGTTACCCAGAACAGAGCCCAAGGTCAGTTTATTACAGCAAATGAGTGTTTTTCTCTATTTACTCATTCATTTAGCAGCTGGATATTAATATTAATCACAGAATCGCAGAGTGCCCTGAGTTCTAAGGAAGCCACAGGTATCATCAACATTCATGGACAGAATGAATTCCCCATTTATCTAGTTAATTCTAAAAAATTTGATATTGACATTTGTCCACTTGATGAACTGTAACCCCAAAACCCATCTCTGTAGTGTACTGGAGACTACTGTAGACTCCCCAGAGAGTGCCAGCTCCCCCAGTACATCCACACAAGGCCACACACTCTAAAACTGCACATGTACTGACAGGCTCAAAAGCTGCATCACTGCTCTCTCTGTGGCTTTCTCTGCTGACGACAATGCTGTCTCCCAGTCTGAGTGCACTACTACAGAAGTATTGTAGACATACCCCAGGACATTATGTCCTCAAAAAATGTTACAGGAAAGAGATGTTTGGCCATGATGTCATGTGCTGTGCTCAGCCACTTGGGCAACAGTGTTTATTTCAGTAGGATCACTTATAGGGATAGTAATTGTTTACATGAGACAAGGCTTTTTAAGGTGTTGTAAATCAATAAAACAACAGATTGCCTAAGTGGATGTCTAAAATTCAGTCTATGTTTAACTGTTGTGGAAGAGGGATATGGAAATTTGAAAAATTTCCGAACCTATGGTGGAACATTTTGGGGTGTATGTTTAAATGTTCTGCTGAATTGTTGATGAGTAGTAAATAAGGGACTGAAACAAGATGTAATCAGAATTTTGCACATGAGCCACTGTGGAATCAATTAATTTAGCTCTAGTGGGTCAGGCAATTTATTCAGTAATCCAAAGTAACTTTTGTTTCTTTACTTACTATTTTGTCTGATTAACTTCCTGGGATGTTTATAAACAAACCAGTTCCTTTCTCAGGAATCAAAGCATGAAAATTTTGGGTAGTTGATTTTGTGAAATTAGTTAATGAAACTAGCTAATGCTGAGTGCTCTCTCTTCAAGCAGGTTAAATATTCTCGTGTGGACACTCACCCGAGACTTTGCATGAAGGTAAAGGAATTTCTTCGTACAACACATACTAACTGCCCTCTTTCCATCAGCTTTAAAAAAAATGAGCTGCTACTGGTTTTTAGGATCAATATTTTGTTTCATAGCTCTGATGTATGGGAACTAAGAATGAAGGAAATATGAAAGATTAGATTAGAAGGTGATTGTTTTGGAAGTGCTGCAGCAATGGTAGATAGGACACAAGTCAGATTGTGCCTTGTGTCTTCTCTGCTTAAGAAAAGCAGCAAAAAATGTTTTCAGTCAATGCAAACTCTGAAGAATGCACTAAACTTAAGGTATAAAGTTTTCCATGTTAAATACTTGAAAATAAAATGATTAATGCAGTACATTTACTGGAGTACCGTACTGTTGTAGCTGAGGAAGAAAAAGTCACATAAGGTTAATATTGACATATTATTGTTTTTTTTTAGATTACTTTCAAGTCAGTGTAATCACATGTTTCTGTAAAATATGCCTGTCTATAAATACTTGAAGAATTGGGGGACCTAATTTAAGTGAAGTATTGGAAGATACCATAGAGCAGGAAAGCTGCAAATTAATCTCCTGCAACTTTCTGGAATTCCCTGATCATCACTTTTTTTGCCATAGATTGACATGAAAAATTGAGTTTTTCTAATAGATTTCTCTGCTTTCAGTTTACAACCAAACGAGGCACTTGGATTAAATGTCCTTTTGCTCATGGGGAATTTCCAGGTAAATATATTTTTTAAAATTTCATAATATTATATTGCAAAAAATATTTAAATCAGTCACTAGATATGAGTCTTTTCTGTTAAGTGAGATGTATTCACAACACTGCAGCTTGTAAATTAAGTCAAAGGGATTTGACAGCTTGTTACTTCTGTGTATCTCCAGTAGATCAAGTGTTTATCAGTAAAAAAAGTAACTTGTGGGAATCAAAATAATTGCTTGCATATCATTTGATGGCACTTAACTAATACAAAAGGCTTTTATTTTAGACATAACAATTTAGAATGCTATATATGATCCTTGTACATCTAAAAGTAAGTCTTTTCCTCTAATATCAGCTTGGAAAATGAGAACTGTTGCAGCTGCAGAACAAATACAAGTTTTCTTCACATCCCAAACCAAGGCACAGTTCTCAGTGCTTGTGTGTAACAGGACACAGATGGCCTCGTGTGAATCTCTTGGGATGCACCATTCAGTCTCTGTGGTTTGTATATACTCTTTCTTAAACACTGTAAGACTTTTAAACATATCTAACAACATTCATTTATTATTCCATTTATCACTCTGCAGCTTGAATGCATTAATAAACCCATGCATGTACATATTGGAACAATTACTGGAACATTTTTAAAGCATGTAGTTCTAATTCTGATCTCACACTGACACAAGAAATAAAGATCCTGAGGTCAAATGAGTCACATCAAAGGAAGTGACTATTGAGCGGAACATTAATATTCTTTTAACATAATTTTTGCACTGTAGTATTTGTATGATGTATATAAGCAAATGTTACTGTCAGTATCTCATATATGGTTCACTGATAAAGCTGACCTGGAAAATCTCACATCATGAAATGTGAGACTTGAGACATCAATCCATGGTGAGCTTGAGCCACTCTAAATCCACAGCTGCCACAACAAACTCAACATGCAAAAAAGGTAAATTTTTGGCTGAATTACCTTTTTGAGCCAGCTGACCGTGACTACACAACTGCTTCTTCCAACACCATGGAGACAGAGAGGGAAAAGATTATGGGGGGTGAGATTTCTGTTTCAGACAGCAGCTAGTCATGAAACAGAAGACTAACTGCTCTCTTGCCACTAAGCCTGTACCTCACACATTTTCAGTGCAGCACTGTGGCTTGCCCTTGCCCTTCAACTCTGCATATCAGAGTTATATTGTTGGCCCAACTTGGAAAGTGAGGTCAAAGAGAAGAAGAGTGGCCATAGCAATATTTTACAAATAGGAGAGTATTAGCAGGATAAGTCCTAGGAGCTACTAGGACCTCTATGTTGAAAGACAGCCTGGCTCCTCAGTAGTCTTAGGGCCACCCCTAAATGTGTGCTCCTGCTGTCTGCTCCAGTGGCCAGGTATATGAGATGTCATATGATGGATTTTGAGAAAGTTGAGAAATCCAGTCGTTGTGATTGTTACTCCTGACTGTGCCCACTGACCTCACTCTGCTCTAGGGGGATGTGCTTTAGAAGACACAAGCATGTCATAGCTCCTATACCTGTCCTTTCTTTAAGATGTAACTCAGCTGTACTTCCTTGCCACTTTTTTCAGGGACACACTGGAACTGTGACTTTCTCAAATACTTCTGATACATTGAGTGAGCAGGTTGCACATACCAGAGAGAAACAGGCAGCTGTGAATAAGGACTTCTTAAACTCAAAGGGCTGGACACTGAATGCTGAATGTATTTTCTAATGAAGCAGTTCCACCTCTGGTGATGAATGTAACAGAGGAGCTGTTAAAAGCAGTTTCTCAACTCAGCTTTGCTTCTCAAGCTGAGGACAGGCTTAAGTGGAAGATGATAACTTGCTCCTCTAGGAGATCCCAGAGCTGAATAATCATGGGAAAGGCCTGGGCAAAACCAGCTATCCTGATCAACACAGGTCAGAGAAGGCATCAGTTGTGATACCAAGAGTCTGTCCTAATGGGAAAAGGTATCTTGAGAAATGCTGTATTACTGGCAGAGATGAAGATCTCTATGGTAGGGTTGTCAACATTATGTTCAGGGAACAGACAGTAGCACTTCCCTTCAAGTAGATTACTTCACATGAAGATTGTGGAGTCTAGACTTTCTGGTTTTAAAGTTTCCCTGTGTGAATTGCTAAGTGAGAGGGGTAGTGGTGGCACCAGTAAATCACAGTTAGTTATTGAAGTGTGTTTTTCATGAAGGGCATTTGAAATTTATTTAAAAATGCTGTCTTCTTCCTTCTGGTACAAAGCTGTAATGTCTTCACTACCATGACAGTCCCCACATGTGCCCACATAAATCATGTACAGTTCCTGTCTCAACACTATGAGCAGTATACACAAAGTTTTCATCAAGACCTAGCTCTGTGTTCCCAGAAACCAGTGTTCATTCTCTACCTCATAACACCTGATCAGTTGTGCTCAAAATATATATTCACCTAATTTCCCCCAAATTATTTCAGGAGTTTTCCACACTGAAGAGAGTGGAGTAGGATTCATAGCTGTTATTTTGAGGACAAACCGTAATCAATCAAATGTGAAGTGTCAGACCAGTCATTTAGGACAATTTTACCCTAAGGCTCAACTTGTTCTCTGCATACAATGGGATGGGAAGTCCAGAAGAACTGTAAAGAAAGGGTCATTCCTTCAAAGATGGGAAGGGTGTCCTCCTTATGATCCTCCATGAAATGCAGGAACATTAGCTCTCTTCCTGTGCTGCTACATTCTTCTTGGCAAAACTACACCCGCTGCTTATTGTCATTGTGATCTGGGGTTATCTCTGAAAATAAATAACCTTCCATTAATTTCCTGACACAGCAGAACATGTAGCATTATTGGCAAACAAAACGAAGTGCTGGAGAGATACAATATGTTTTCATTGTTCCATGGTACAGAAAATAGTATTTTTCAATTTCTTTTTTTTTTTTTTTAATTAGGGAGATTCTGTATCTATCACTGTGTCACAGGAAATGTGTGGGTCAACAATTTGCATTCAGGTATGTGTCTGTACAAAATAAACAAATAATTAAAAAAACCAAAAAGGAAAAGAAAAGAAAACCAGCAGGTACTCTCATTGCTTTCTCCTTCCAGCCAAATCTAATTACTGTGCAAATGGAGTTGGCAAAGAGCATTATTTATAGCTTGATGTGCTGCCACCACCTCTCATCGAGATGACATTAATTAACAGAGAAGTTGCTCTCCATGATCTTGATCCTTTGGTAGTAGCAGATAAAGGGATATCATCAGGATATTGCTAATTCTCTCTTTATATATTCCTTCACAATAAAAAGTTCCAAGCTATCACATGATCCAATGAATTTTTAAAAAACTGACATTAACTAGAAAAGGTGAGGCATATAGCAAACAGCACAGCAAGTGCATGGTGTGCTGGAATTACCACTCCTCAAAGAAGACCTGAGCAAATTATTTCTGATATTTTTGCACACTGTTTTCATAGCTGAACTTTATTAAGACAACATTAATAGAAAATGAGCATGAAGCTGATAGGTTTATTCCTCTCTGGAGTTAATGTTCCCAACAGATACCAGGAGAAAAGAGACTGATGGCCAGAGCTGCAGGGCTCCCAGCAGCTGCCCTGGAAGGCCCTTGTCAGCTTCACTTTCTGCTTCTAGGAAGAAAGTGGCAAGATCAAAGTGAGGTTGGCAAGAGCCTTCTGAGTAATGAGAGTTGTTGTTCTCTCCCTAATGAGAAATCAAATTTGGTGGTAATACACAGATACAGTTCTCCCTCCCCAAATAATGATTAGAGACCTAAAAGTGATTGCAATTCACTAAATATACACTAGACCATCAGTCTATTTAAAAACATTAAAACTGCGGCTGCTTGAGTAAGCTAATAAAGCAACCTCATTTTGTCAACACAAGTATTTAGTAACAGTTCTGCTGAAAGTGGAATAATGCTCAATTCTTTCTTTTAAAAGGGTTGGAGAACAGATGTAGATTACTCGGTTCCATTGCAGATCTGTGATACCTACTGTGGTAAGTATGCATGATAACAAAAGAAGCATTAGGTCTTGATTTTATAGAAGAGAACATCTCAGGTGATATGTGTTTCCACTGGAAAACTGCTGTGGGATTCACCTGGATGAATGTAGATGTCTGCATGAGAGCTAGATGTGCTCAGCTTCCTTTATAGACAATGGACTCCTACACCTCAACTAGCTTTCAGTTAGCTAGTGTAAGGGCAACTTGTGTGGCTGCCTGCTGCCTCTGCTTTCTGGGTGAATTTTCCATCCTGTGCCAAGTTCTGCGTGCCACACCTATCTTTACCTTGCTGTCTGTACATGAGGTAACTAGTTAAAAACACTCTTTGGCAAGTAGACACACAATGCTCTCATTGCAGTGATTGCAGCACAGCTCTACTGTCAGTTCCCCACCTCTGCAAATGGGACAGTAGCACATCCCTTCACTGCAGAAGTACACTGAGGATATTATTACTATTTGAGGTACACTCAGATACACCTATGAAGTCAGAATATTCTGAAATCTCCAAGCCCTGATAGTAAGGCATTGTAGAAGTTGGTGAGTTCAGAGCACTATAAGGTTTATGGTGAAGAGGGCAGGAGTGGATTGACTAGTTTAGAACTAAAAAGTCTAAAAGTAGTCAAGTGGAGAGAAGGCTCAATCTCAGCATTGCGAAACCTCCCCAATCCCACGCAAACAGCCAACCTCCCCTCCCAGTTCATTCTAAACACAGTGATTCCTATGACAGTTTTTTTTCCTGTTGTCTGAAAACACCTGTCAGTTAACTACAGCTTCAGATTTGGAAGCCAGGTACTGAAAAAGGAGGGGGTTTGGATTTGAAATCTGAATGTAGTTCCCTGTGCAAACGCTTGTATAATGGTAGTTCAGGTTTCTTTTCCGCTGAAAAACTCATAACAAACCCTTTAATCAGAGTGTTGTGGTTCATGTAGTCTGGATACAATTTTTTACTCATATTTTCCATTTAACAAATGGGAAGGCTATGACAAAAGCATGTAAAATATTGAAAGGCTCCAGAGATAGCAGTCTGGGAATTCCCCTACACCTTGTAGTAGGAGAGAAGGGGCCTCTGTATTACACTGAGAACTAACTAAAGAGGTTTCTGGGCACAGTATTGGATTTGAATGTTGAACCTCTTGTCACAAGTTTGTTTTATTTTCTGATAAGGAATTTGTGGAGATTCAGAAAAAAATCTGAGAAACTTTGCACTTCTCATGACTATCATACGTGTAACATGTGATCACTCTGTTTGTTGTACATTAACCTCATGCTTCATGGATTCTTAAATGCTTATTTTCTATATCAAAGATAATTCTTAAGCACTAGTTTGTTAAAATGAAGAGATGATGGAAGTTTCTTAAAGATGTCACTGAGGGTGACAATTCTTAAATTGGGATACTATTGTGTTTGGACCTAAGAAAAACAATACACATAAAGGTGAAGGGAATATTAAACTTCAGATTTGTCCCTAATTTGTGAAAATATGGATTATACAAAGTGTCAAAACAAATGACATTTAATCTTATAATGCCATAGTAAAAATATTTACTGCATACCTCTTTGTAAAATAGTGATGTACATTCTTACGTATTACTGCTAAAGATACCAAGCAGCATCAGTGTCCAAAAGACCCACGATGTTATTAACATGTATTTTGTTACTGAAAACCAATATTCCCCTGATAACAACATCTATTATAAAACCATCATGGTGGCTGCTCTATTTCCAGCTGCAAGAAAAGCTTTCTGGCATATAGAATGCATTAGTCTGCAATTCATTGCATTTTTCTGTAAGTAACTGTGCTTGGGGAATTAGAACGGCTTAGGCTTATTTGCTCTACAAAGGATGGAAAATAATGTAGAGGATTTTGCATTTAGTAGCATTGACTTAGAGGCAAAATTTTGTGCTCTTTTTAAATGTTATGTTTACTCTGGCCACTTTTCTGGATTCCATTTAAAATAGCCAAGCATTCTGAGACATTATTTGACTTCTTAAGAAAGAAACTGATCTGTCCTGAATGAAACAATAACCCAAAACAGTTACTGTGAGAATAAATATGTGAATCATAATGGAAACAAATGGCAACCTACATTTGAACTTGTTCCTTCAGGTTTTCATGGTCAAGCGCATGGTGATGGAAGCCCAGCAAAGGTCATGACACACAGGTACCCATCCAATGTTGCTTAAAACATTGAGAGCTGATAGAGTTGTTAATCCTGAAAAAATATCACTGGCCTCTCTGTGAAGCAATGTCTGAGTGAATTTTGTGTTAGCCAGAAGGAATATCAGGTTCTTAACTTTCCCTTTTCCTTGTCCTCACTGAAGACATTCCTTGCTTCTGTGCTCTCTCTTCCTCTTGCTCTCTCTCTGTTGCATCACAGTGCAGCCTGGCATCAGAGGTAGCTGCCTTGCTGCCAAGGAGAGGACAAAGGGAGATAAATAACAAGTGGAAATGAGAAGTTTGTAAAGTAACAAGGCAACCTTCAAGAGCCCTGGAACAAGCTCAGATTTGCTGTGCATGATGTTCACATTATTAGCACCTGTCCCTGCTTTCTCCCTGACATTTGCAGGCTGATCAATCAATTCCCTCTGTGGGGATTGATCAGCTTATTAGACGTCTGCTCAGCTGTTCCAGTGCCTCTTTTTAGTCCTTTGCAAAACACCTATCCAGGGCTATAGACAAATCAGTTATTAATGCAGCCCATGGTGGTATGATTTGGTAGACCTTGAGCTCTTAAAAATTCTCTTCCTTTGGGAATACCCTTTCAGAGCTAGCCTAGAAGACTGGGAGCAACCTAGGACTTCAGAGAGAGTAGAGATGCTCTAAAAAGCCCTTGAGCAAAGATGGGAAAAAGATGCAGCCTTGCAAAAGCTATGCAAATCATGTGGTCGAGGAGCAGTTGGCATCCTTGTTTTGAGGCAGCCTTTGGCTTTTCTCTTGTCAGAAGACACCATTCAGAATAAAGCATCTTGGTTTTGTTCATTTGAGCACTGTTTAAACTCTGACATTGAAGTCTAGGCAAATGGTTTGATTTGTTATTTAACTCCAACTAAAAATGCAATGAACTTTTTCACACTTTAGAGAAAAAAACCCTCAACAATATCCTTCCCTCTTCTGTTTTTCCCCTAGAATGAAGAGTGTGCATTCCTTGCATTGAATTTCACAACACGTTTTCAAGGTCCTCAGTATATTCTCAACATCAAGTTGTGTTTTGGTGCAACTTGCAAGTCTTGTCTAACTGGTCATCTCCTGTGTTTATAGTTTGTGCCAATTACTGTGAGATTATTCTCAGAGTGAAGAATTTAGCAAGTTGAGCCTATTTTAACATGACCAAAAGAAGATGGATTATGATTCCTTATTTCCCAGTATTTAAAAACAAAAATCTTAGATCACTTAGAGAATCGGGTTCACATTTTCTGTCTAAAGTAGTATTTTATATAAAATATGCTATAAATGAGTACTTTTGTAGTACTCTGTGTACTTATAGAACAAATATTTCAGATGTTCTTATTTGTAGCCTTCATTTTTAAAACATAAGTAAAAGTTTTTGAGAAATGAATGGAGGAAGTTTTCTAAGATTTGTTACATTATTCTTCTTCATAACTGCCTTTGTTTTCTGATGCCATTCTGATGACCTCACCATGACAGACCATATTCCTTAAATATATCTACCATCTGCTTTCTGTATTTGCATTTGTGTTTAACTTGGAAATAATTTTCCTATTTGTCTGAGGTGGTATATGTCTTTGGTTTGATAGCTATTTAAACCTGCTTTGTGGAAATCCAGCCTAGAAGGAAATCGTATAATGGAAAGAATTGGAATATTTTTTTCCCATTATATCAGTATTTATACTCAATCGTTCAGGACAATATTACACACTGTACTGATTATCGAACATTTGGCCTTTATTTCACTGAATAGTCCTGTCAAACATCCTTACTTCCTGTTGTGTAACAAGGGAACAAAGTCGACTAGAAGATGATTAATAGCATATCTTGAAACCATGTGGAACTGATCGTGTGGGATCAGTAATATGGGTGGGGAGTGAGGGTCTGGAACAACAAATTGATCAATAAAAAATATTTTCCATCTGAATGTGCTTTGTTGGGGTTTTGTTTTGTTTTGTTTCAAGACATTCAAAGAGCAATTTACAGGGGACAAATATGGTACAAGAAGCATATCCACTGTGCTGACACACAAGATTTTTTGAGGTGGCTTCTGATTACAAAATTCCTGCTTCATGTGAGACCAGCTCTACCTGCTCTCAAATAGTGACTGGATCACTCCCATGCATGTAACACATTCAGGAGTTCCACTCAGGTAGTGTCTTTTCTAGAGATGTTACAGACACTACTGTCCTTGTGACATTACAGCTGCAAAAGTAAAGGTGGAGTTTTTAAATTTTTTTTCACAAGACATTTTAAACATTGGTAAGTCAATCCTGAAAGAAGAAGGTATGAGAATCATTCAAAAGTCTGAAAACCGAAATGTTTTCCTTTTCTCACCCAAACTATGCAACAGTTTTGCAGTATTGACCAGCACACAAGCAAATGTGATGTAACAGCAGTCAAATGCAAAAAATCCCATGTGTGTTGCCTATAGGCTTGGCTAATTCTCCAGAGCTTCCATTCTTTTGTTGTGGGAAATTCCCTTCTTGCTTATTGTGGGCCCAGTCTAATCACCCTATTTTGAGACAATCTGCACTTATTTTTTATTTAATGTGTACATTCTTACTATTATCACAGAGCATCAATGTCCCAGTTCTTCTGAGATATCAGCATGTATCAGAATATCTTTGAGGTATAGCAAAAGTATTGATATTTTGTAGTAATCTCTGTAAAAGTCTTTCAGTTATGTTTAGTGCATTACACAAACCTGAAATTAACATTTAAAGTTAACATAAATTAATGCAGTTTTGCTCCACTTAGGGACTTAATTTCTTGCTACACCCACTTGGGGTCTGGTGTTGGAAACCAGTCTGGAGCTGTTGCAGTATTTTGGATGTCTTCAATTGCAGCAGTGGATACATTTCCTTGATAGCAAGTTAGAGCTGAGTGCTGTGCTTGAATTCTCCCATCTCTTATTAGAGGTGTGTATTCACCAAGCCATAACAACAGCCACAGCAGATCTAGTCCAGTGCTCTGTAGGTTGCGTTCCTGACCCCTCTTTTCTGGACTTCTGATAAACTACTTCAGAAAGAAAAAGAAATGGGAAGACAAATAATGACTGCTTTTGTAGAGTTAGTTAACTGCTGATTTCGCTTCCTGGACTATAAAGTCATGCATAGGTGAACCAGCAGAAGGGAAGCAGCCCAGCTCTAGGGTAGTAGAAACAGTTTTGCTCCTGTAAGTTCCTTAGCTAGCAGACTGTCAGAACTGTCATGTAACACTGTGATGTGATCACACACCTGTGCTTAAGAGACAGAAGAAAATGTACTTGCTTCAATTTACTGTGAAAAGTTGCAATGAGCAAATTCCCCTTGCTCATATTCTGTCACAGCTGGCCTCAAAAAATGGTGATTTTATATCATATATCATATACCCTGTCAGTTTTTTATTGTACACAGAAATATCTTTCCTGGATTAAGAAAGCAATTTCTCTTATCCAGAAAGCCCTTTAGTGCAAACATAAGATGCTGCTGTGTTCAGTGCAGTACTGGAACAAGTCCATTAGCAATGGTGGGAGCTATTATTTCCCCATTCTGGTTTTCTACCACTCCAAGCCACTGTCACTATCACTGGCTCATATTTCACAGGAATAGGCCCTTTTTTGTGCACTAAGTGCCACTTTCAAAAAACTTAAACTAAATGAGCAAAGTTCAGTTCCTGTATTGGATTCATGAACACCCTAGAAATTATGATTTCCTAAGCACCATCAGTGGCAAAACAGATTTAATCTGCTCTTTGTCTTATATTGGACTAAATGACTCCTTAATATATAGCTGATACAATGAATAGCTAATACAATAACACCAGGACAATTTATCTCCTGAAAAGCAGATGATAATTTCCCTAGACTTCTTCTTTCCTGAAAGGCAGGATAGATTGTTTGATCACAGCATTCTTGTGGTTTCCACATTGAGGGTAACTTGCTCTAGCCTGGTATCTGTCCTAACCTATATAAACACAATATTAGCCTTTTTTTGATGTGTATGTTCTGAAGTGTTATCTGAGCTGTGTTTCCCAAATTCACTCTTTTGTCTTGGCTTATTTAAGGTATGAGACTGAGCCGGGCTAAATGAGCTACCTCATTTGGGGTCCCTTCCTTCAGAGAATCAAGTTGAGGCATCCTTCTTATGTTTGTTCAAATTTCTGTGACTTAATGATGACCAGAAAACTGTCATATATTTATTCTGACTGAAATCCTTAAGCCTGTTTTCAGGCAGCTGATTTCTGTGGTGTTTTGTGACCCTGAAGTTTCTTTTCTAGAGACACATTTCTAACTCTTTAAGGGCATGTCGCAGATGACATTTATTTGTAAGCACCAAGGTGACCAGATCTCATCTGCCTCTGCTGCTAGGAGAATATTCACCAAATAGCTATTTGTTGCTGTGGATACAGCCAGTCTGCTCTTGAGAGAGCAAACAGGAACAGTATATATACAAGCAGACTAAGATTTACTCCATGGAAAAGATCACAAAGATAATGTAAATGTACTTGTGAGGGCTGTTTATGACTTGTCATTATCTGGTTGGTGCAGAGACATTGGGTATCATGGGAAATAGCTGTACAAAAATTGCTGTGGTTGTGTCACTGCCCCAGACGAAAGAGGACTCCGTGATTCCTGAATGAATGCTTGCTCTACTGTGCTCCTGCTTAGCAACGCTGTCATCAATGCAAGAGAAAAATAGTGACTGTCTTTGAAGAATGTAACCCACCATCTATGTTTCTGCCATTTTATAAGATTCAAACCCTACAAACTGTTTGGTTTAGATTCTCACAAGGTTCCATTATCTTTCTCTGTAAATTACTGCAATATTTTTGTTCCAGCTCACAGAAATGAAGAACCATTGCATCAAGTCTTTCCTGCAGATAATTTGTGTACAGCTCAGCATACAAGGTAGCAGCACTCCCTTCTCTATATCGCAAGGTCTGTAAAGAAACTGCTTTTAAGTGTAATAGGAAATGTTATGGAATTCTGAAAAACTCCAGCAAAGTGGCAGTGTCACTTATAGAATGTTCATTATAATATAGTTCACAACCACAATTCCCCATGTCTAATTTTACAGTTGTGATTTCTGGTGAAGGGTGTGTGCTGTTCATGTGTGTGAAGTGTGCGAAAAGGGAGACAAAGAATGAAAATTGCAGGAAACTTTCTCTTGCATATCATCTGCCCTGCGAACCACTGCTTGACAGCAACAATCTCTGTGCCTGCCAGAAACAACACTGTTTGCTGTCCGCTTACTATTGTCACGAAGAAAACAGACTTTGTCCCGCCCGAGGAAAGTACGCCTCTGATCTGTAAGTCATCTGGAGCAATTAGTAGCAAATCCCAGTCAAATATGGATTCCATTTTTCTTTTGTGCTAATTTTTGCTTGGCATTATGAACACAACACTGAGTTTAATTTCCCAGAAGCACAAAAGCTCTTAATTATTCTGTGAAGTCTAGTGATTCATTTCCAGGTAAGTGAGAAGCAAGTTTTTAGACTATGAGACATAGGGAACGGTTTTGAAATGTGGGTAATTATAGGTTTAGTTCAGAGAGTACAAATCTTCCATGTGAGAAAACAAAGTCTGTTCCTCACTAGGCAAATTTTGATGGGCTCTGCATCAGGACAGTATGAGACCTGATGAAATTCATCCATGGATCCTGAGGGAGCTGGCAGAGAAGGCTGCTAAGCCACTATCCATCATTTTTGAAAAATGGTGGCAGTCAGGTGAAGTCCCTGAGGACTGGAAAAAGGGAACTATAACCCCCAGTTTTAAAAAGGGGAAAGCAGAAGACCCGGGGAACTGCAGGCCAGTCAGTCTCACCTCTGTGCAGGCAAGATCATGGAGCAGATTTTCTTGGAAACTATGCTAAGGCACATGGAAAACAAAAAGTGAGCCAACATGGATTTACAAAGGGCAAATCATGCCTGATAAATTTAGTGACATTCTATGACATGGCTACAACATTGGTGGATAGGGGCAGAGCAACTGACATTGTCTACCTG